AAGGCAAATTCGTAGCATATTTGATGATGCTTGTGAAAACTTGTGGACGTACCTCCTACAGTCAGACTGCCGAGTCCTGCATATGAGTCCATGCCTAGAACCGGTTATCAGCTCTGCCAAACCGATGGATTACCGGGTACGATAATTACTGCAGCAGATACTTGCGGACATGTCTGCGTACGACAACCAACCCGAGCCTGCAGGAGAAATCAACCGATCGTCGTCTAGGGACGGTGCCAGAGACCCAAGTCGAACAGCTTAACATACGCTTTGTTGGCCCTGAAACATGGGTAATTTAAGTTAAGGGTTTGAAGAAAAACCGTCCGTGAGATAGTTACGAACAGAAATGTTAACGCCAAACAAGCTTTTTGGGGAGTCGTCTTGGCAGCAGCTCGCGATACCGTCACTTAGCACGGAAGTACGACCAACAGGCGAAAAGCGAAAGACCCATGTCAAGACACGTTATCCATTCCATTATTTGACACAGATATATGCCATTTTGCAATAATTTACCGTACTAACAACACAGGTATTAGCTAAAAGCCCAGACACGCGTGTTTCGCCGATCTTGTGCCGCTGCCTGACGCAGCTGCGAGGGGTTCGGCTCGTCAGTGGGTCTGTAACAGCCAGACATCATGACCGGTCTGTCGTCATTGTTCCAGACCTCGCTGCCTCAAGGTCATTCATCCCTTGCAGCGAGCCGTCCCAGACGAGGTGACCTGAAGTCACACAACCAACAGCTCGGGCATACCTGCGTCCGCGCAGTCGCAGCTGCCCATGCGGCCACTTGAACGCGCCACCCCCTGCAACCAGCGGAACAAGCCACTGGCACTCCACCCCTCGGCAAATGCAACACGCACGCTGACTGACCACCACTTGAGCTTGGCCCACGAGCCTACAAAAGCGGCTGCCACCACTATCTCAGGGACTCTCAGGCCTGACTGGACGCAGTCAACACCAGCCCTGGCTTCGCCAGTGGCCACTGTCGCCTGAGAGGACAACTCCGGGTTCTGTGCACAATAAACCCCTCATTCTGGTTCCTTCTGTCTTCTCCTTACAATCTGGGATTTGACTTGATAATTGTAGCGCACAGAGCACATACTCTCTCAGCTGTATCGCTACAGGTCCGCCAGCTTTCCCCGTGTGTTTTCTGGTATATGAACTCCAGTTTCAACTTGCCTTGCTCAATTTCCGAGGAAATTAATGCGCGAACTTGGAGTGACTCTTTCGAAACAGGCCTTTTCAGGCACGGTCCGAAATTTGATATGAATATTTGAGCTGAAATCCATCAGCTACTGCGGAATAACCGCTTAATATTCACAAACCGCCAACAGGCAGCCAGTAGTATAGCATTTTGTTAGTGCGGTAAATTATTGCAAAATGCTATACTACTGGCTGCCTGTTGGCGGTTTGTGAATATTAAGCGGTTATTCCGCAGTAGCTGATGGATTTCAGCTCAAATATTCATATCAAATTTCGGACCGTGTCTGAAAAGGCCTGTTTCGAAAGAGTCACTCCAAATTCGCGCATTAATTTCCTCGGAAATTAAGCAAGACAAACAGATATATGTACCCCCTGAATTATGCTGCGAGACCACTTGTCATATTTGCATAGGATGTCTGTTTTAATGCTAAGAAGAGGACTTTGTATGAAAACTGTTCATCCAGGTACGCAAATCCGTG